AGCTATGCAATGGAGAGCATGTGTAAGTCTTATTTTATAAATATGATATAATATTGAATACGAAACTGAGAAATATAGAGTAAACTATAAATAAAAAGATTTGTCGCTTTTTAGCTGTTCTCCTCCACAGGAATGCTGTCCTCATGGCTGTTGTTACAGTGCATACTTTACGCCACCAGTGCATCCAGTTCATGTTTCAGAAATGTTCAATTTCATGATTTGGACTTATTGGTACCTGTGGTTAGTACATATTTTCAATATTTTATTAAATAACGACATGAAGTAAAAAGGAAATAAATTTTTTGTCCTTTTTACTTATTATGACTTTCAGATTATCGTTTATATATGAAAAATAGACTATTGCACTAATATCTTGCGTTGGCTTTCATTCCCCTTGAATAATTATTTTAGATTATTTTTGTAGCACGATTTTCTAGCGGTTTGTTCTAATATACGTGTACTGTTTTGTATTAAACATAATTTCATTTTATATGCATAGTAGTCCTGCATAAATGATTACTTTATTATTAGTATTATATAAATCGAATACGAGAATTCGAAGTATTTTGTTTACAGGGTAGTGATACTTGTAGCCTTAGCTGTAGCCGTAACATACGGCTTTTGGCTATGGAAACGTTACCGTTCGGCATTGTCAGAAGATGGCACGTCTTCGGAAAGAACGTCCACAGGACCGTGGTATCCGCCTCCTCATTATAGCCGATGTAGTTCCTTTGTTCAGGCACTACCACCACCATACAATGAGGTATTTAAAAAAAAATTTATCAATTTAACAAAGACTTGAAAGTATTATGAAAAACAATAGCGTCGATTGCACATAGTATGTACGCTATAATACAATATGTACAACAAGTTTTACACCTCAGAATTTTAAATTTATGTAGTAGTGATAGTAAGATAAATCTACTCTTATTATTTAATTTATGCTCAGGTAACTGCAAAACCAGACCTTTATCCCTTAGTAATTGGCTACGATGATAGTTCGGGCAAAGGTACTTCTGGTTTTGTAATGCGCTACTTCAGATCGTTGTCGCATGCAAGCACATTGGATTCGTTGAGCTCCAGTTTTATGTGTAATATGGTAAATGAAGCGAATACTATTATTCCGCCACCGTATTCTTGTAACAACAGCATCGATGAATTATCAGCAGTAGAGTGTGAAAGAAGAGAAACTGGCGACATTGGTTCTATTGTCTCCTTGACGAATCACAGAACGACCTCTGACATATCAAGTCTTGGTGCTCAATCACCTTGTTCTCCACCGAGGGCTACCAGTCCAACGATAGAAGTATGCTTTTAATTATATTTAAAACGAATTAAATTATAGTAGAGTAAATAATAATTAAGTAATATGTTTATATATATCACAAAAATAATTGTGTATACGCGAATTATTTCGCGATTAATTTTTATGTTTATTACTTTCCAGTTGCGGGAATTATTGGATAAGATACAACAACTTCCTCATTTATCTAATGGGCATTCCACCACCATGCATTGCCAACAGAATCAAGCCCCGGTCTTGTATATAACAAGTAGCGATGGTATTACGCAACAACGGCCTTTAAGTCCCAGCGACGTTGGTTCGTACAAAGTTAGAAGAACCAGGGGCAAGCTGTACATGCCATTGGGATTGCCGAATTCGCGAAGCAAAACGAAGCGATGGTTATCGCGCTCCGCACCAACAACACCTTCAGGTACAATACCAATGTCCTTCTTGCCAGGACAAAGCAGGAGGCCTTCAGAAACCGAAAACAACAATCAACAAGCGGTGCCACTGCTTTACGAGCAAGACGAAAATGAAACCAACAATGCAGATCATCCATCGGATGTTCCATTGCTCGCTGAATAAGAAGAAGAACGACAATCGATATGACACGGTGTCTAAACCGTTCGTGCCATTTCGACATCGCAATGACTTTGCGTAAGGATTATCGATTCTCTACACATGTATACACTCACATATACATACACACATATACACATACACACACAACAGATTTAAATATTTTTTAATATAGCTCTGATACATTCGATCATCATGTGTGCCATATCATAAAATTATACACATTCGGAACGTATTTAATATATGCAACATGAGGAAAATCTAAATCTAAATTTATATTTTGTTAAAATATATATATATACAGGAACACAGGCAAAATATGATATTCAAATAATAATACATACATACATACACATACGAAAGGTTTAGAAATGCTCAAAAATTTAGCTATTATAGATACAAGTATTAATTATGTAAAATGCTTAAACTGATTGTTTAAGAATGTCAAAACTTTTGCATTATTTTATCATGCTCGAGCATCTCTACATAATTATTTTGATTGTTCAACAAAATTATTTTCAGATATGTTTGCGATCTATGTATCTTAGTTGCACATATATACATAGATATGTTCTTACTTAATATTTAAATTTTATGATTAATCTTTCATATCTATGTGTAAATTTAGCGATGTTCAATTGGCAAATATAATTTTAAATCACAGATATGTAGATGTGCATACGCCTAAAGTACGCCCCGAATGTATCTACTTTATATGATAAGGCATACATAACGTCTTATATGAGATATTGTTAATCGATTTTCCGATTACTGTTAACCGATAAATGCCGCCTACCTTTTTAAACTAAAAATCACAAGAAATTTGAAAGAATTATACGGCTATCTTCGATGAAGTGACTTAAGGCCTTATCTGCAATTTTAGAATTCGATTCTACCGTCATACTCTGGACTACTTACGATTTTAAGCATTAACTCTTTAGCTGCGATATGTTTCAAATAAAAGCCGTCCTTTATGTGCGAAACGGTATTTACAAATCGATTACTGAAACACGATCGGTTCTACTAAAAGTAGAACCACGTGGATAATTTAAATGCTCCATACAAGACACTTGCTGCTTTTTTCTAATACGTGGTGTTAAAAAAAATTAAAAATACGAGATCACAGATTTATCACTCTTTTATTGCAACAATATATTTTCAGAAAATTTTAAGAAGTAAATAAATACATAGATAAAAGGTAGAATAAATAATAAATATATAACATAATGTGTATAAATGTAACACATTTTTGGTAACGGATGTTTTATAATCGGCAATTTAATATTAATCAATAATCAAATCTGTCAAAAATAGATTTTGTAAAATGTCTATTACAAATTTTATTGGCAGAATGCCAGCAAAAATATAATAGAATCTGCTAACATATGATGACAAACTGATTGTAAAAATGGAGCAAAATATACATACATACATATATATTTTCTGCAGCTAAAGAGTTAAGAAACTGGAATATCGTGATAAATAAATACGTGCAGTTTGCTTTACTGAGAAATGAAACAAGTTTTGAATCTCTTTCTAGTTAGATATGATTTTCAACTGACGTTATTGATACAACATCTTGTCACTTTGTATTTAATATAAGCTTTGCTTCTTTTTAATAGACATCTCAAATTCACGATAAGCGACATTATTGCATTTATTATGAAATATAAAATTATGATACTATAAATTGCATATTATTATCAAAATGGGAAATAAATTTTTATCGCTTTCCCACGAATGTGTGTTATTCGGTGGCGCACAAATTTGCGAAATAATATAGATAGATTTGTGTTGGTATAATGACAGTAAACGATAAAATAACAGTGAATGTTTTGCGCTTTACTTACGAAACTGGAAAATATTTTAAATTTTTATTTATAGAATATCTGATATAGAGAGCGTGTACACACCAAAATTTATTGATGCGTGAATAGATATTACAAAAATTTTGGTAACTGATTAATATATATAATTTTTTATTATCACATTTACATAGGTTTCATCGATATATATATATAATATTCCATCCAAAAAAAAAACCGATCTAAAGAGAGAAGGTGTTAGGACAATATTGCGCAATTATATAGAAATATGAACCATACGGAAGTAATATATACAAGATACATGAGCCATGTACAATGCAGATTCCGTCAAAAGACAACAATATAGACTACAGAAATTAATAGACAAAGCTCGTAACGAGTATAGAAAGATATCTGTTTAATTTTAAACAAGCAGATGAGATTACTATTATTACAAATACGAATACAAATAAAAGCATAAGGATCAAGATACTGGACTAAAGTATAGTTTACATGCATGTACATCTACTTGGTTATTCAGGCAACCAAATATTTCGAAAACGGATTTTTTAAATGTTGCTACAAGTATTATCGGTAGGAGGGCAGTAAAAATACGACAGAATTTGCTAGCGAAATATGATGGCAGATTGTTGATAGAAATAAAACATAAAATAACATGTTTCGTTTTAATGATTACAAAATGATTACAAATTTTGCTTGTTTTCTGCTAGCAATCTACTATCAGATTATATTATATTAGCCAGCAGAAGTTAATTCTGCCTTTGCTGGCAGAACATAAACAGATACAATTGATGTTACTTTGCAATATTCAGCTCAAATCATTGATTAAAAACAATTTTTATATATCTCATAATATTAAAAAAAATTTTATATTTTTAATTTAAAAAATTTCTAAAAAATATCTTAAAAGTCTTCAGATTTTATAAGTTTACTTTAAAAATAATAAGAATGAGAAATTTAAAAATATCTCAGAATTTACATATGTATATAAAAAATTCTAAAAAGGAATTGCTTTTTCAGCACTTCTAAAAAGTATTTCACAAAAAGTATTTATATAAAACTGAGAAACTCTAAAAGATCATATGAAAAATTTAAACAAAAATTTTCATCAGAAATCTATCGGTAGACTGCTAGCATATTTTACCACAATTTTACTTGCTGAATACTTTTGAGAATCTCAGCATATTATACTATAGTCATCTATCAACAATCGAGAATAAAAAATATCTTACTCCAATATAATAAAATTAAAATGCAGTTTCTCCTTCAACGATCTATCAATTACTAAAGGAGAACGCGTAATGAAATTCATAAAAGAAGACACTTTGTACAAATAATTTTGTACTCTTTATACATCTAAACTTGACAGCATTTTGTTCTGCACTATATTATTGTGCACAATTATAGTTGTTTTACTTTGAATTATGTAAAATTCTCAATTTTATTATTTATTTCTAATTTGATCTTTAAATCGAATATTATTTAGATGTTTGGTGTGTGTGTGTGTGTGTGTGTGTGTGTGTGTGTGTGTGTGTGTGTGTG